CTCACAAAGACAGCTGATACCAAGTCCTACACTGTTATCTCTAACACAACCTACTTACAAAGACAGCTGATACCAAGTCCTACACTGTTATCTCTAACACAACCTACTTACAAAGACAGCTGATACCAAGTCCTACACTGCCATCTCTAACACAACCTACTTACAAAGACAGCTGATACCAAGTCCTACACTGCCATCTCTAACACAACATACTTACAAAGACAGCTGATACCAAGTCCTACACTGTGCTATCTCTGACACAACCTACTCACGCACGTTGCAGACACTAAGAAAATAATACAAACATACCTGAATGCCACACGGATCCCAGCGAGGTCTACCACTCAGTGACTTACAAAGTCCAAGTCCAAGTCCTTTTGAGAAAAAAAATAAAAGCTCGACCACGTTCAGACTGCTGCTAGCTAGCCTAGGCTGCTAACAGTCTCCGCCTATATTTGTGGTCTGGGTTATTTGCGTCACTTTCGTGACTGAATACTGGTGTTTGTGCCATTTCTGGCTTAATGTTTCCATCCGAATCAAACCGCTCGTCCTGATGTCACTGGTGCATGTCTTCCTTCTTCATTCTTGGTGTTTCCTGTTTGTTCTGTCTCCCTTTGATCTGGCTAGGCGTATCTCGAAGGAGAGCGAGCTTCCAAACACAACGACCTTTCGGCCACCATTTATTGTTTTAAAATTTTGAGTATTTTAATTTTGCCAAAAAGTACTGAAAACAGTTTTTGAATGTGAATAGTTCCGAGATGTGAAAATTTTCGCGTGTGACCATAGTGGTCTTATAGTTGTCTTCCTGTAATATGAACGGGTTAGTCATGTAATGGATATGTGTGTGAGAGTTTGTGTGGAGTCTTAAGCGGGTCCAGTCGTCATTTGTTATTATGTGATCGGGTTGTGTTGATAGCTAAGCTCCGGTGTACGTAAATACCATATAACCGGACCGTCCAGCTCACGCTTTGAGATCCAAATGATCGGCGATAAGAATTGTTGTGGCATGTTGGGCAACGAACTCAAGTGCTCTCTGTGGGAATGGGTTGGGGGGTTAAACTCATAGTGCATCCGAAAGAGTTAGGGGAAGGTGGGGGAAGGGGAGCGGGAGGCCATTCAGTCAATTCTCGTCGTTGCCGTCTTGCTGGATTCTAGCGTGGCTTTTTGCCGGGACTATGTGTATCACGTTACCAACCTTTGCTATCATCCCAGTGATGGGGTGGTATTGGAGGTTATGCGTTCTAGTCCTGTCATTATCGAGTCACTTGTATTCCCTATTTGCTGTCAGTAATATTTTGTTATGAATTCTGTCGGTCATGTGCATGTTGTATGCATGCTGTGGAGTGGGATGGTTTTGTTTATGAATCCCGGAGTATATGGACGCACCCAACTAGGTGTATGCGTACATGCACTCGAGTACTCATACATGCAGACAACACTACATATTTGTACGTCCTTTCATACTTATACGTGTGTGCATACCTAATTGACATTACGTACACACGCCAACTCTTTCATATGCGTTTACCAATGCCAGTACTTACATTCATAAAAAAACGAGTACATCCACACGTAGTGATATTCACTCTTCCATGTCTTATGTGTTTTGTGTGGCTTTGTCTGTAATTTCGTCTGGTCGTGTCACTTTTAAGTTATGTCCTGTTACTGGTATGTGACCTGTCCGGTACTGACGTATCATGTTTTGGTGGATTGTGTGCGTTGATGACGTTCTTGCTGCTTACACCCTTCATTCCATTTGTTCTCATTAATGAACAGACATACAGCAACACAGTTTATGGTTTCTTTGATTGCACTGTCATTCATACACTCACAAATATATTAGTATACACGCTCTCATATATATACAC